TAAGCACTGTGGGCACAGTCATGAGTAAGAAAGTCTCAGCAGTGCCTCACGGAGCTTCTCATCCAAGGCAGTGCTGTCCAATAAAAATGATCCACATGTTAATGTCTATAGCAACATTAAAAAAGTACAAAGAGACAGGTATAGCTAAATTTAATACTCTATTTAAGTGAACATTGAAAATTTTACCATTTCAACATACTATGAATATGCAGATTTTTGAGTTATATTCAATTCTTTTCTCAAACTAAGTCTCAACATCTTGGGTGTATTTTACACAAATGAGATCTTTCCATTTGGAGCAGCCACATTTTAAGAGCTCCATAGTCACATGTGGCTAGTGACAACTGTATTGGACAGTATAAGTGTAGAGGAAAAGTTAAATAGGTAGCAAGCAATAAAAGCAGCTGAAGTTCTATGACAGGAGAATGGAGTGCTTATGGGAGCATGTTGAAGAGTATCTCAACCCATCTGTGTAGGGCTGGGAAAAATGTCCTGGAGGAAGCTACCTTTCAACCAAGCTTAAAAGGATGAGCCGGCATTAGAGCCAGGAAAGGGTAGGAGTAGGGCACTTTATATTAATATTACTATTTAAGGTCTGCAAGGAAGCGTGACTACGGTGAACTGGAAACACTACAGAACTCTAGTGTGACTGGAACAGAGATTCTTATGGGGACCAAGAGAGACAAAAATGAAAAGGCAGTTGTAGAAACCAGTTCATGATGAACTTTGTAAACCATGTAAAGAAATTTGGACTTTATTCTAAGGAATCCATCCCTTCTAAAGTCTTTAGGCCTGTATTTGTGGAACTAGCAATTCCAGGCTAAGATGTGCTCCTCTTCACTGAAATATAACGGGGAGCAAGAGAAATGGAAGTGAAAGGCTAAGTAAGGGCAGATGACCATTTATCAGAGGTAATGAAGAGTCTAGTTCTGGATTAAATGAGTCACTCAGGCCTTTTTCAACTCAGATTTCATGAATCTAACTCTTTAGCTATTAACAATACTGGAATAGTTGATAACAATTAATGACTGTATTACAATAGAAATTATGGTTAAGAAAATATAATTTGTTATTTATGAATTATTTTTGCAGGGAACACTCTATGTAACGCTATATATGTGTTAGATATTTTCATTAAAGTTTCTGGCTAGGAGTTCTGAAGAGTGTGTATAAAGTTTAGAGAAGTCATACTGGTTGTTTTGGAATCAATTTATAAATTGTTGACTTGGCAACCTACAAAGTACTTCATGATAGTTTTAAGTGTTCTGTTCCAACCTGGGCCCTCAAAACTACCATCTGGAGTTCCCATGACATGGAACTGTAGTTATTCATACTAGCATAAGGCACCAGGTTTCAGGTTTTACAAAGTACAGCTTAATCACTTGAATTATGATATAATTCCAACAAGTATATTGTGATTACAAGCGTGGTGGTCTTCCTTGTCTTAATGGATCATTAGCTTTTTGAAAACAAAGGAAGCGATTTCTATTTCCATCAATATGCAGGTTTTCTGTGTCAGGAACTGTGGCATATTTCCCAGAGTGCTTGATAACCCAGAGTGCTTGAAAATATTTAGTATGAGAAAAGTCATTCAAATATAGTCACTGCATATTATAGCCTACTAAAATAAATGTTTATTAAATAATTGCTTAGGAACTGTACTGGGTTGAATAGTGTCCTCTAAAGTTCACATCCATTAGAAAACTGTGAACATTGTCTTTATTTAAAAATAGGGTCTTTGCAGATATAATCAAGTTAAATTGAGGACATATTGGATTATGGTGGGCCCTAAATCTAATATGAATGCTCTTCTTAGAGTTAAGAGGGAAATTTGAACACAGTGACAGATGAAAGAGGAGAGCATCATATGACGATGGAGGCAGAGATTTAGTGGTGCATCTACAAGCCACAAAACATCAAGAACTGTTGCCATCCACCGACACTAGGAATAGTCAAGAAAGCATTCTTTCCTAGAGCCTTGCTGACACGTTGATTTTGGATGTTTAGCCTTCTTAAGTCTGAGAATACCTTTCTGTTTTAAGCCATCACATGTGCTACTTAGCTATGGCAGAACCAAGAAACTAATATAAGAACCTTTCTGGACTCTCCATTGTTTCTCATACTTCCTTTGTGAAGTACTCTCTTAAGAGACTTCTATTTAATGGACTTGACAGATTAATCCCTTTCTCTGTTAAACAAAATACCTTGGGATAGTATTCTAGACTCTAGATTCCATACAGTTCTATTCCCACCAAAAGAACTACACTTACACTTACACTTACACTGGGATGTAAGAACTACACTTACATCCCAGGCCACTTACTATTGCTTTACATGATTTAATCAAATATTATATAACTGGTGAAATATGAATGCAAAAGGAAATAGAGCTGCTGTTTCCATGAAAACTAGGTTGGAGGCTTTGGAAACTCTTGACAAAGGTGAATCATGTGAAAAAAAAGCAATCAAATTAGACATTGGTGCGGTAACTATAAAAGATTGAAAAATAATGAAAATCTAGAACATGTGCTAATTCAGATTGCTTTGCAAATACATTGAAATTCTTACTTCATTTTAGAAAAAATAAAATCAGATCTTGTAAAAGATATACCATAGGCATGGTTTACGTAAGAAGGCATTTTGTGGAACTATTCTATAATTCTGCATGTGTATCAACTTTTTCTATTGGCAACACAACCATAACTTCAGACTATAATAAATAAGAAGGTTCCCACTTTAAATACAGGTTTATTACACCAGGTTGTTATTCAGTCACTTGTTAGTCTATAAGCTTCATGAACACAGAAGCTCTACCTGATTCACTCCCCATTCTATCCTTGGTACTCAATATAGTGCCCAGTATATAGCAGCCTCTTCCAAATTATTTTTTTAAATAAATGACCACAAAATGTACTTTCATTGTTTCTATTTTTACCTTTTTCAAAGAATTATATCATGATCAATAAAGTTTTATTATGGGATGATATAAGCCATAAAAATGGACTCAATATAGAGAACTTGATTTTTTAGTGGCATTTATATACACATATATGAATATTATCACTTTTACTGTATCATTTGTCATAGCCCAATATGCATTTCATATCATATCTTCCTGAAAATACTTGTTCCTATTCCACATATTCATGTAATTTCTATCTAGTGCCACAGTATTATTTCCCCAAGTTTGCAGATTAGGAAGCTGAGATAGAAAAGCTACTTTCTTAAAGGCAGGTTCCCAATTATGTCTCAAATTCATGAGCTTCCAAGTTATAGATTAGTACTGACATTGTCATTAATTAGGCTGAACCCTTGAAGAAACTGTTGATACTTTCTGAGCCTCAGTTTCTTCAGTTATCAGATGAGGATTTTTTTTTAAACATTTTATTGATTTATTTATTTTAGAGAGGTGGAGGGAGAAAGAGGAGGAGAGATACCTTAGTGTGTGGTTGCCTCTCACGTACCCCCTACTGGGGACCTGGCCTGCAACCCAGGCATGTGCCCTAGACTGGGAATCAAACCAGCGACCCTTTGATTCGCAGGCGGGCACTCAGTCCTCTGAGCCACATCAGCTAGGGCTCACATGAGGATTTTTGACTGGATGATCTTTAGAACACCCTCTAGTCCCAAGTCCTCATTTTCAGCACCAAAAAATTCTGGATTTTCTTGTGAATAAAAAAAGTAACTTCTCACTGCTCTTCTTTCCAATATGGGAGACAGTGAACAACACACAGAGCTAGTTAAAGAGTGACAGAAAGGGTAAGGTCCAGATGTGTTAGTGAGTATGGAGTGGGGAAGAAAGGAGAAATAAAAAAAGAGGGTGAATTTAACATTAGTTTGCCAGTATGAATTCTTTAAAAAAATACAGTGAAATATTTTATGTTCACATAACCCAGGAGAATTTTGCAATTACTTGCTTGCAGTTGCTCAATATCAAGTTGCAAGGGGCTTGATGTACACAGCTTAAAAAATTGAAGACTTAGTCAAGTTTTCATATTTTATTAGCGTAAGTAGAATATAATTTTATGAAGTTGTCATAAAACAATTGCTATATGATCTTTTAATCTTGTTCTGAATACATTAATAATTAAGTTTTACCCCTTAAACTACAGATAATATTAAGATAGAGGCAACCAATATTAGGTTCTTTCTATATGCCTTTTCCTCTGTCTTTACTTAACTAAACAGGAATCATTGAAAACAAACCTTAATAGATTTGATAACTAAAAATGATGTAGGGTTTCAGAAGGTCCAATAAGACAAAGAATTTACCGCTGGAATTCTGTTAAGTAACTACAGGAGTTATATTTTTGCCTCAGAAAACTTTCATCATGGAACACAGCTGTGAAACAACTTTTGCTTCAAACAGAAAGGTTATAATAAAGCTCATCCTAGCTAGACTTAGGTTCAAGAGGTTTATGGTGGCAAACCACAGAAAAGATGAAATGTTTCAATAAGCCCCTCAGGCTGATCTAGTTAGCATTCACAAAGTGGAATAACCTATATATCACATACCCTTTGTTAGACAGTTGTTTGGAATAAATGTATGAGTCACTGGATTTTATTTTAGTAGTTGGGCAATGCAATCCTCTTTTTGCCCAAAATATTAAAATGAAGAAATGTGAAACTGAAAGTTAACGTCAGATCTTACACAGGATGCTTTTCAAGCACTGTGATGAATGAAGAAATTCTTCTGCTGTTGTCATTTCACATTTTACCTTGGGAGGCACAAATGATAAATTACCTCATGTAAAAAAATGTATATATATTATTAAACTAATCAGCAAACTACAGTATATTTTTAAAAATTGTGTGTCGGGGGAAGAGGTGTTAGAAGGGGGAAGCTTCCAAAACCAAAAGAAAGTGGTATAAGAGAAGGACAGGCAAGATTCTATGCTGCACAATTTCAAGAACAAATGAATCCCTCTGGGAGTTTGGGGGATTAATATATACATGTATATTTTTTTCTCTTAGACACTGCTCAGAATTAATGAGGGTACCTGCAACGATGCTGGCAAGCTGCTGGGTTCTGGTGATGGGGTAGATGCTGCGTGCCTGAACGATTGCTGAAGCGATTTTCTTGGCATGCTTCTCTTCCCCGTATGTTCTCAGGATGGATGCAAGTGCCTGTTGATCTAAAGCGTTCACAACATCAGCTGCAGTGGGCATGTCAGGGTACCTACGCACAAGAAGAACCAATTAGTTCATTGACGTCAGTTTTCATTGACAAGAGGTGAAATTTCGGAGTAATGAGACATAAAGTCAGGCATACACACATTGTCTAAGAGAGCTTCTGAGGTTTTAAAAGTCAGAGACAGAAATCTTAAAGGAAAGAAATAGGTTTTCCATTTTAAATACCCATCGTGCTGGCAACTGGGGACTGTGTGTGAGACATTCATCAAGGTCCAGGGCAGAAGGAACTTAAAACACAGGGTCTGGTACAAAGAATGCCCGTTTTTTATTACAAAATGATAATCATGTAATTGTGTAACATAACAATATCGCAATCAAGCACACCATATGATATTTTAGGTGAAATGTTCAAATTAAAACTATAAATTATTACACCCACATTATTACCCTACCAACCACACTCAAGTAGGCCTTACTTCTGCTGGACCCTGTATTTTACTAACTTTTAGTTGACAAAGAAGTTATTGCTCATGCAGATTTCCCCTAAACTAAAATAATGAAATGTTTGGATTTAGTTTGTTCAAAATTCAAATTGATGCTTGAACTTTTTTTCAGTATAGAAGATACAAGGCTTACTGACTGATATTTCAACAAGCCTACATCTCAGGATCTGAGACCGTCCAGTAACCAACTACTTATATTGGAGCAGAAATTAAACTGAGAAAATCTTCACGCAAGTTCCACCTTGTCCTAGACAATATATCCCAAGACCCCTAGCAGAAACTTGACACCGCAGATGGCACAGAGCCCTATATATACTGTATGCACCCACATGCAGTCTTTAGCTTCTCTTTGGCATGTCTGCATTACCAGCATCACTACTCTTGCACTTTGGGGCCACTATGAAGTAAAATAAAGGCTACTTGAACACAAGCACTGAGATAGCACTACAGTTGACCTGATAACCCAGAAGGCTACTAAGTGACGAAGGAGTGGTTAGCATATATCACAGAGACACGCTGGACAGAAGGATGATTCACATCCCAGGCAAGACAGAGTAGGACACCGCGAGGTTTCATTTTGCTACTCAGAAGGGCACATAATTTAAAGCTTACGGATTGTTTATTACTGGAATTTTCCATTTAGTAGTTTCAGGCCATGGCTGACACCAGGTAACTGAAACTGCAGAAAGTGAAACCAGGTGTGAGGGGGGACTATTGTACAAGAAGATACTGCTCGTCAGTTTCCCTCACAAAAATAGAGTGCTCTTAATGATAATAACGTGTATTAATTCAAATGTTTAACAATACTGGCTTCTACCTCCATGACAAAGACACTGTGGGGCAATACTTACTAATCAACAAACAATACTAAAAAAGTCTAGATAGTAATTTCACGCAAAGAAGACAAAGAAACAGCAAGCTCTGCCCAAAGAAAGTAAATCATAGTAGCGGGAAATAGCATTCACTCTGTCAGACCATGCCAGTTTATCTTACTTTAAGAGAAACTGGTCAAGGAATTCTAAGTAATGGGTTAACTGAGATCTTACTTACTAGAGAGATAGCTTTGCTAATAGTACAGTTACTAGTCTTGTAGTTAACATGTTGGATTGATTGCTGGCACCACACTGGGAGGACTTTAGGTAACTAGAATATGGTAGCTTGAAGGCGTGAGGCTCAGATCAGAGTGAGGTTGTCAAGGAACACCCAAACCCCTTCCTTAAATACACTACGCTGCACCCTCTTAGCATGCCCAGGTCCCACAGGAGAAAATTTCGCTGTTGTCCTTGACCTGTCCCCTCCATCTCCATCTCTCTCTCTCTTACACTCTTTCTCAGAACTTGATTTCCAGATCATGTGATTCTGGTGTTTGGTTTTTTTTTCGGGCTCCATGGTATCCCCAGATCAATGAACATCCTATGAGGTCACCTGGCATCTATTTCAATAAAGCTTGCTCCTTCAATAGCAGCTTTAAGGATAGATTTGGTCTTTAGAGTCAGATTGAACCAGGTTTAGAATCCTGGCTTTGCTCCTCATATTAGGTAAGCTTTTTAATATAGTGGAACCTCAATTTCTAACCTGTAAATGAAAATAACAATGCTTACCTCACAGAAATGCTGGGAGAATTAAGGGTACGTATAATTATAAAACAAATAGTAATGCCTGGCCCATAAATAAGCTCAATGCATGTCAGTGTCCCTTAGATTTTTCCCGTTCCTACATTTGTCAATCATTACTTTTGGCCTAATCAACAAAATCCCTGATGGATCTTACCTAGTTGTGAATTCAACTGCTCAAAATCACTGAGCATTAGAATGAACCTTGTGAACAATGGTAAATTCAGACTCCATAGGATAGAGTTCAGCTCTAATAGGACAATTCTAAAATGAGTATGGATGTACTTAAACATTTTTTATAATACCTTTCTACTTTCAAGTAAGAAAATTAAAAGATCATTTTGCTCAAATATAGTTCAGGGGATAATAAGCATAATTCCATTTTACTCTAATGTTCACACTGAACAACAGCATAGAGGTTTCCATAGTGCTACAAGGCAAAAGGGGCAACACTCTGGAAGGCCAACAGGCTACCAGGAGGCTTCAGAACAGGCATCATATATATGAAGAAGTCAAGACACAAAATCTGCCCACCCCCATCCCAGGTTAAGATATTTGTCAGTCCACCAGAGATCATGGACTTACAATGACTACACTCTTGAGAGCGAGAAAATATTAACCTAAGAGGCAATTTGTTTATTACCTTCTAGGGAAGAATACAACTGACACAGGGCTATATCTGCAAGTCCTTAGTCTTTAAAGCTTTAAACTTCTTTCTACTACATGAGAACCTTACTATGATCTTAGTGCTGCTGTTGAAGTTGGGAGGGCACAAATTAGGATATGCTGTACAATTCTAGTGTTAAATGGCAACAGGTCAAGAAAGCAAACCTCTGGAATCCTACTCAGCACAGGGATATTTCAGCCTCCATCATCTGACTGGCCATATTTTTCGGCTTGGACTCCCTCTCCCCATAATACCACTTGGATTAGCATTGCCCGTATTTACATCTCTGCCTCTCCATTTTCTATAAATTAGTGTGAACCAACTCCCCCTTTCTGCATGCCACATGTTTTCTCCATATCTGTTAATCTCTTTGGTTAAGTTACAGTCCATGCCATCTCACCGGAAGCCAACCTGCTTTTTAAGATATATTCTTTCAATTCTGATGCCATCCATGATGTGTTGAAGAGATGAAAGGCCAGTCTCATTTTCAAGTTCTTAGAGGAGAACTTCAGGAACCCTGACTCTCAAACTAAAATTTGCTGATAAATATTTACATTAACAATTTGGGAGATTTAATAATGTTAACTAGAAGCTTCCTTCATTGTATTTCAGAAGGCACCCTCCTTAGCAAGACATGGGAAAAGCAGAAATTTGCTTGACATTTTATTGCCTCTGCACAACCTCAATCTCCAAACATGAGAAGATATTTGACCTTTACTATTAGTCACTGGTTTTTAAAAGATTTTTATTATTTTCTTTTATGATCAGACTCTTCATTCTATGAATGCCAACTTGTGCAAAAGAAGGTAAAAGCCTCAGAACAAAAAGATTCCGACAAGCGTGGTTTACAATCTCAGGTAACAGGTCCTACCAAGGCATGGGGGGAAAACCATATGTGAATAATTACCATAGGATAAAGCAGTTCGTGGGAAAGAAGTCAAAGTCAACTCAATATTAATTTGTTGACTTAAAGTTAAATTTCTTATATATAGATCCTTCTAATTGGAAGAAATTTTGGAAAACATATTTATTTCAGTAGAAATATTTATGCAGGTCCAGAACTGCATATTAGAAACAGTAACTGAATATTTTGCTTACTTAGATGTGTAAGAGGATAAGCTTCACAAAGGTAGGGGACATGATGCATGACTTGGTGGCAGTGCGGGTAGGGACATGAGATGAGGTAGAAAGGCATAGCTGAGCTTTGATGGTACAGGCTGGTTAGGCCCTGGGCCAGTGTTGGGCATATAGACAAGAGAGAATCTAAGCTTTCAAAAGCAATTTAGATTAGAAAGAAATCATCCTATACTTTCCTAGAATGTGATCTTCTTTGCATTTTTTAATATACATGCACCTATTTGACTAATAAAAAACAAATGCTAGTACTCCCAGGGTGGTGAGGAATAAAGAGGAGATGTAAACTGTCCTATGTACAATATTGTATTTGATATAGCACCATAAACTGTAGTTTCTCTGAAGAAGGTGGAAAAAGTGACTATATAAGACACATGTCGAAACACAAAATTGTTGACTTCTGGGATTTGACTTTCACGCAGTATTCAAAACCATATGCATTAGATAAAGTTCCTTCTTACTTCTTACAACATAGTTGGGCCTGCATAAAAATGGAACCATTGTTTCACTACTGTATTTATCAACATCATTAGTAGTCTAACAGCTCACATTGTATCCGTAAAAAAGATAATCAGTATGAAAGTTATCATCCTCACTATTTTGTGAAAAGACAGCAATGTTTTTTCTTTCAGAATCCCAAATCTAGAGAAACACTAAAAGCCATATGAGTAGCAAACAAAACTGATTATATATGGATAGTGTTAAGTGTGGGCGTATAATGGGAATTCTGCTGTCTTAAAAGGAAATTAAATTCAGAGTGCTTGTGAGAAATTGATTTCTTGTTGTGAGGAAAAATTCTTTATAGATACTCACCTGCCACCATCCATTCTCATGTCCAGAGGGCCATCCTTACGAAGGGAAAAACCTCTTTCAGGAGCATCAAGTTGCATTGAGGAACATCCAAGATCCAGAAGAACTCCATCCAAAGTCCCTGGCTGCACTCCGGCTTCCGTCAACAAGGCTTCTGCCTGGCTGAACTGGCCTAGCATAGCTCGGACCTGTTTCCTGTGAATAAGCCCAGGAGATGAAGAAAACAATGCAGTTATAATAAAGTCTTTCTTAAGGTCTATGATCACTGGAAGGAGCACATCCTATTTATACATTGTTTAACCGATACAGATTTACTAAGTGCCAAACCCATGCTTAGTACTATATAAAGGCACACGGACATGGAAACTACACCTTTGGTTTTAATACCAGAGGTCATTTATTATAATTTTACTCTTGCTAATGAGCCCCATTTATTTTATACCTTTCTGAAGACACAGAGTAAGGTGATGAATTAAAAAATTTTTACAAATGACTTTGTCAGATTAGGCATTTCACTTTTTCTTTAAAAATTATTAAATCTATGTATCAGGAAAAGGAGCATACACAAATCTATAAAAAGGATAAATATGAAGATAACAAATACTGACATGAATGTAGAGAAAAAGGAACCCTTGTGCACTGTTGGTGGGAATGTAAATGAATAATAGCCACTAGAGAGAAAAGTATAAAGTTTCCTTAAAAATATTAAAAACAGAACTACCATGTGATCCAGCGATTCCACTTCTGAGAATATACCCAACGAAAAGGTGATTGTGAAGAGATACCTGCACCCCCATGTTCCTAATAGCATCATGCGTATTTACAGTAGCCATGGCATGGACATAACTTAAGTGTGCAACAGTGAATGAATAAGTTGTGAGATATCATTCGTCCATAAAAAATACGAAAATCCTGCTATTTTCCACAACATAGGTGCAATAATGAGTAAAATAATTCAGAAAGAGAAAGACAAATTCTGTATGATCACACTTATATGTGGAATCTTTTTAAAAAAAAGTGAGAGAAAGAAATCCAAATTCATAAAGAATCAGATTCATGGTTACCAGAAGTGAGAGATAGGAAAATGGGAATTGGATGGTGGTGGTCAAAAGATGCAAACTTCCAGATGTATAGGTATTGGGGATGCAATGTACAACTTGATAACTAGTTAACATTGACGGATGGTATATATGAAAATTGTTAAGAAAGTAACTCCTAAGAGTTCTCATCACAAGGAAATGAATTCTTTCATCTTTTTCTTTTTTGTATCTATATGAGACGACAAATGTTAACTAAACATTTTTGGTAATAAGTTCACAATATATGTGAGCCAAATCATTACGCTGTACACCTTAACCTTCTACACTGCTATACTTATATGTTAATTAATATCCCAATAAAAGTTGAAAAAATAAATTTAATGAGTAAGCCAATTTAAATACAATAAGTAATAAAACAGAAATCACCAAAAAAAGATATATCAAACATCTTCAAGCCAAACATTTTAGCTTTCTCCATATTTCCCCATAATTTACGCTAGGGGCGCTGTGAAGCTGCACACTTGAAGAACCACACTGCCTGAAGTAAAGGCCTTCTTGCGAGGCAATGTTTTAGCTCTCAGCAGGGATTGTGCAGTGAATGGAGCATTCCAAATCAACAGACGGACAAGAAGTTCAGCTCCCGTTGCAGCTACTTTACCTCTCCTTCCTATACAAAGTGCAACGAGGCCTTCAGGGTTCTTCAGAAGCCAAAAGACAACTGGCATGCATTTTGGAAGGGGAATGAGAAGAGAAAAACGGCAACATTCCCAAGACCTCATTCCCTCCTTCTACGGGTGGGTTTGGTGAGTGTGGGTTTTGACAGTGTTAAGGCCTTCATATTTATAATTATTTACTTACATATTATATTAAGGAGAAATTCACAGATAATTGGTATTTTTTTCTCAAATTCTGGTGAAGACAGTCATTTTCAGATTCACTCACCAAATATTCATTGGGTATCTGCTATATGTCTAGCATTATGCTATTCAGAGGTATATACAAATTAATAAAAATGATTGATGAAGCATGGTTTTCTGAGCTTTGAGAAGAGAAGAAATATATAAGAGTTTGCATAATAACCTGGTAGGTGCTAACAGTGGACAGATAGACAAATTGCTATGTACATACAGGCGTACTCATTTTATTGCACCTCATTTTAGTGTGCTTTGCAGAAACTGTGGTTCTCATACAAACTGAAGGTTTCTGGCAACCTTGTGTCTAGCAAGGTTATAGGTGCCATTTTTCCAGAAGCATATGCTGACTTCGTGTCTCTGTCTCACATTTTGATAATCCTTGCAATATTTCACATTCTTTCATTATTATTATTATATGTGTTACAGTAATCTGTGATCAGTGATGTTTGATGTTACTATTGTAATTGTTTCAGGGTGCCACAATCCACACCAATATAAGATGGTGGACTTTATTGTAAATGTTGTGTGTGTTCTGACTACTCCATTAACCAGCCATTCTCCCATTTGCACCCTCTCCTTGGGTCTCTCTATTCCCTGAGACACAACAATATTGAAATTAGGCCAACTAACAACCTTATAATGGTCTCTGAGTGTTCAAGTGAAAGAAAGAGTCGTACATCTTTCACATTAAAGCAAAAGCTAGAAATGATTGTTTAGTGAGGAAGGCACGTCAATAGCTGAGACAGTCTGAAAGTCAGGCCTCTTGCACCAAAGACCCAAGTTGTGAATGCAAAGGAAAAGTTCTTGAAAAAACTAAAAGTGTTAACTCCAGTGAACACAAATGATAAGAAAGTAAAAGCCTTATTGCTAATACAGAGAAAGTTTTAGTGATCTGGATAGATCAAACCAGCCACAACATTTCCTTAAGATGAAACCTAATCCAGAGCCAAGGCCCTAGCTCAATTAAATCTATGAACACTGAGAGAGGTGAGGAAGCTGTGGAAGAAAAGTTTGAAGCTAAGACAGGTTGGTTAATGAGGTTTAAGAAAATGCACCCTCTTCATAACACAAAAGTGTAAAGTGAAGCAGCAAGTGCTGCTGTAGAAACTATAACAAGCTACCCAGAGATCAAGGTAAGGTAATTTATAAAGGTGGCTATACTGAACGACAGATTCTCAGACAAGATTGGGTGCATTCAGGGTGGTATGGCCCTAGACTGAACAATGGATTTTCAATGTAGGATGAACGTCCTTCTGTTGGAAGAAGATGGCACCTTGGACTTCAACAGCTAGAGAGGAGAAGTCAATGCCTGGCTGCAAAGCTTCAAAGAACAGGCTGATTCTCTCACTAGGGGCTAATGCAGCTGGTGACTTTGAGATGAAGCCACTCCAAAAATCACAAGGTCCTCAAAAATTATGCTTAATCTACTCTACCTGTGCTCTAGAAATGAAACAACAAAGCCTGGATGACAGCACATCTCTTTACAACATGGTTCACTGAGTATTTTAAACTTACCATTGAGAGAAACTCCTCAGAAAAAAAGATTCCTCTCAGAATATTAGTGCTCCTTGACAATGCACCTGGTCACCAAAGAGCTCTGATGGAAATGTACAGGGAAATTAATGTTGTTTCATGCCTGCTAACACAACATCCGTTCTGCCGTCTATAGATCATGGAATAATTCTGCATTTCCAGTTTTAGTAAGAAACACATTTTGTAAAGCTGTAGCTGCCACAGATGATGATTCTTCTGAAGGATATGGGCAAAATAAATTGTACACCTTTTGGAAAAAATTCATCATTCTAGATGCCAGTAAGAACATTTGTAAGTCATGGGAAGAGGTCAAAATGTCAACATTAGCAGGAGCTTGGAGGAAGCTGCTTTCAACTCTCATGGATGACTTTGAGGGGTTTAAGACTTCAGTGGAGAAAGTAACTACAGATAAGGGGGAAACAGCTAGAAAACTAGCATTAGAAATGAAACCTGAAGATGTGAATTTATGCAATCTCATCATAAAACTTTAACAGATGAGGAGTTACTTCTTTTACAAGGGCAAACAAAGTGGTTTCTTGAGACGAAATCTACTCCTGGTGAAGATACTGTAAACACTGTTGAAATGACAACACAGATTTAGAATATTCCATAAATTTAATTGATAAGGCAGCAGCAGGGTTTAGGAGGATTGACTCCTATTTTGAAAGGAGCTCTATTGTAGGTAAATGCTACCAACAGCATTGCGTGCTACAAAGAAATTGTGAAAGGAAGTCTATTAATGCATCAAACTCCATTGTAGTTTTATTTTAAGAAGTTGCCACAGCCACCCAAACTTCAGCAACCACCACCCAGCTCAGATCTGTCAGCAGCCATCATTAACAAGGCAAGGTGCTCTACAAGTAAAAAGACCATGACTCACTGGTTAACATTTTTTAGCAGAAAAATATTTTTGAATTATGGTATGTAGATTTTTTTAGACATAAGCCTGTTTTGCACGATAGACTACAGTATAAACATAACATATATAATTGGGGAACAAAAAATTCATGTGACTCCTTGAGATATTTGATTTATTGTAGTGTACTAGAAGTGAACCTGCAATATTTCCAAGATATGCCTGTATTAGGAAGACACAGAATGAATGCTAATACTAGCACTAGAAACAGAAATAATAGAACTTTTGGTATTGGGAGGGCAACTCACAAACCATTTATTCCATTTAACTGCTGTTGAATCTTTTCCCTCTCCACCATCAGTGCTGGAGAGGGGGTGGGGTGGGGACAATCCTTGCTTTAATCACCTCCCATTTACCTCATCCATGAGGGAGAGATTCCCATTCCAGGATTATGGAAATGGCCAAATACACAGCACCTGATACTGCGCAGATCAGATTGACAGGAGTGTATTTATCTCGTATACTCACAGCCCAGGGTAGGAAGATACCACGTGCTCTGCATGGTTAAATGGGGGTTATACTCAGGAACAGAGTGGACAACCAGAGTCTGCAGGAAGGAGGTTTTGTAAGAGGGTGGGGTCCCCTTGGTTCTCATGAGAGAATCTGATTGGCTTGATTGAATGATTTAATGGCTGGCAGGGTAATGGAACCTGCTACTCAGGGATAAGCAGATATTGTGCCTGATCCCTTTGATGAGAAGGGTCATGGGGCTAAGGAACCTTGTCTGTGGGAGCAGAGTGGGGAAGAGACGTTGTGGTTAGGCCATTCAAGGCTCTCTTGGTTTTCCCCAGA